CTATTTTAGAAGAAAATTGATGAGTTAGAATAAAAGATAAGAAAAGAAGAAAGAAGAAATATAGGTATAACATTAAGAGAATAAACAGTATAAAAATGTTTTTTTTTATTTATAAATAAACNAAAAAAATGATAACTGGAATAATAAATGTTTTGAATTGAATCCGAAGAAAATGAAAGCGCGCGCGTAGCGCGCGCTGTCTGCTAGTCCTATATTAAAAAAGGCATTTGGACCGAGAAGTGCGCGTTTGGAGTCGAATATATCGTACCTATTGTTGCCTCTTTTCCGCGTTGCCGATTGATTGATTGGTTGATCGAGTCGAATCGAATCGGTAAGATCGAGAGAGTAAATAATGAAAAGCGATTTTGAGACAGTTCGTCGTATATGTAGAGAAAATTAAAAACGTAACTAAAGTCGCCTGACAGGAAAGAGTAGAAAAACAACACGTGAAAATAATGTGACTGTAATTTATATTATATATAACATTTTAAATAATACATATTATACATATAATTTATTATATATTTATAATATTATACTTTATATTGTATTATATGTATTATATACATACTACAGAGTAATGTCACTGACCTCCGCCGCGCGACTTTGGCGGGGTCACTAACCTCGGCCGCGCGGTCTTGGCGGGGCACTGACCGCGGGCACGCGACCGCGGCGGGGTCAATGACCTCGGTCGCGCGATTGCGGTGGAGTCACTGACCTCGGCCGCGCGACCGCGGCGGTGTTACTGACTTCGGACACGTGATTACGGTATATATATATATATACACATATATGCGTATGTGTGTGTATCATATATAGATATAGAATATTACATATAATATATATAATATTCTCTTTTTTACCCTTTTCCCTAAAAGCAATGACTTTAGTCACGTGTTGTTTTTCCACTTCTCTCTCTCACTACTTTTTGAGTTTGATTTTCATGCGTTATTTCTGACATTTCTCATATGTGTATTATATGGTTTATAAGACGTATATACTATCTGTCATCGCGGTGACAGGTTGTGTTCACTGACAACACGTTAAATAAAAATAACAATAGCGTGCGCGTAGCGCGCGCCTGTGTTGTGCTAGTCCTACCAGAAAAAGCATGCGCAAATAATCAGAATCGATTCGATCGATCTTGATTGTTGCCTCTTTTCCGCGATGTTGATTGGACATTTCTCGGATAATGTGTTTCTTGATTCATGTCATACTGGCTGCTTTCCTTTTAGGAGACACAGTCGACACAAGTCGACACAAGAATTATTCTGTCTTTGTTTCTCACTGAATACTTAACGAAGACAGAATGACTTTTGTGTCGACTTGTGTCGACTTTGTTTCTTAAAAGAAAAACAGCCACTGTCGTACGTGTACTAGCTGTCATCGCGGTGACATGTTGTGTCTACTGACGGAATATGTTAAAATAAAAATAATTGCGTGCGCGTAGCGCGCGTCTGTGATGTGCTAGTTATATAAAACGCAAGTATTGTTTTTATCGCATTATATTCTCTGCCAATTTCAAACGAAAAAGACGCGCACGTTTTTCTAAAAAATAAAAAGTTGTTCTTTCTTTAACGAGCGAAAATGATTATTGATGGACAGTTCTTCCGCCTTGCATAAAGTAGAAAAATCGAATAATCGACAGTTTAATTTCTATCGCTTAATCCTTTCGCCGGCTACGATTTGATCCGGACATGCGGTAGCTTTTAAGCCGATTTTGCGAGAATAAATCCCTTTAATTAAAAGTCTCATTAGTAATTAAAAACGTTAATTGAAAATCCGGTACACCTAAGTATCGAATAACGTCAAATCGATAGGCGGACAAATTAATTTTTTTTCTCACCAAGTTTCAAATTATTTAATAAATGTGCGGTAGATAGACACGTTTATTTATATTAGTTTTTAATCACATAATTTTTCTGTTAAACGTTATTTTTAATTGTAATAAAAAGTATATCTAACAGTTGTGTGAAAAAACGTTCTGAAACTAAAAAATTTTTATATCACGATTTATCAATAGATAATTAATACACTTTGCTTTACTTTGAAACATTTCACTGATAAAGATGCGTTTTCGACAGATCCCCACGGAGTCGCTCATCTCACTAACAAAGAGAGTTGTTTCAAAGACGACTCCCGATGTAACAAACTCTCTCGAGTTCGCGTTTTAGAGAAATCGCGTTCTAGAGAGATCGCGAGGAGAGTATATCTGAGATCGTGATTTATAGCGCGGAACGCAATCGCTTTATTTCGGCTTGACTAAATTTGCCGCTTCCAACTCGCTTCGTCTCCGACTAGACAGTTATGTTTACGCGCGGCGGAACTTACAAAACTTAACTGAATTAACTAGTTAACAAGTAGATTATGCACACGACATTTAGCTACCAACTTCGCGAGCCAGACAGACTTACAGTTTTCCGTATCAGGATAGGAAGTAACCCGTGGAATTTGCCATAAATTGGAGGCAAAGTTACATCCTGTTATGTCCATCTAAAGAGCAGGAGGGAATGTCTGATTAATTTAATATTAATCCCACTTTCTGTCGTTACATTCTAATTGAATTCGGGACGCGGTCAGCGTGCTACTCATGCGCATTAATTCTGAAAGCGTACACGGGTCTCACGCGTCTAGATATTTTTTCATTTCATTCAGCATGTTGCGATGTGTTTTTATTTTGTATCTTGTTTATCAAAACTTGGTTCGTAATTTAGATGCAAGGTCAGACTTGTGTGAAAACAAAAACCTGTTGTAAAGGAATTCTCTCAATTTTCTCTCAGTCAGCTCTCAATTTCCGAGATTTTTCAGCATAAACAACAGTGGTGATCGCGCGTATAAAAAATTAACACCACGTGCACACAAAATTCTAACCTAACGATACACATAAATGTTTGACCAAAGCAATCGTAGCGATTTTATTTATTTTTTTTTTTGTTTCGTTTTTTTATTCTCAGCACAGACGGAACGTTAACGGCGAAACTTTTTGTACAATTTATGTATACGCGTGCAATTTTCATATTTCAGCACTTTCGTGTATTCTATGCAGACGTAGTTTCGAATTAAATATTTCTCCTGACATTTTTATTTTATCTCGAACGTGACCGCCGCGCATAAAGAAAATAAATAAAAAAAAAAAAAAGAAAAAAAAATCGAGAGGACTCGAATCGCTCCGTGTGTCGAATCGGGTGGGTGTGCTCGCGGGATCAATTCGAAAAGAGCAACCAACTGCAATTCGGGCAATTTTCCGGGCGTGCACGGGCGCAAAAACCGCTGTCATGTCATGCACACAAAGCATAAAATGTATAGAAGCGCGCCGTCATAGAATGGCATTGACGAAATAAGCGGACAGGTGCGGACGATTGGCCAACAACCCGATGACCCAGATACCTTTCGGGTGATATTGATTAGCAATCGAATGTCAGTGCAGCCGCAACGTCAAATGCGTCGGCACCTCGCATCTTGTCTCCTCTATATCCTCCCTCCCGGCCACCCAACGCCCCCTTTCGACGTTTTCACCGAGCGGCGGTCACCCGACCTCTCGTTTGTCCTCTCTGATGTTTGTATTATTCGATCTTGTGTCCCTTGTACTTACCCGACCGTTGTTGCCGCTTGCTTCTCCACTGTGCGACGTCCCTTACCGTTTCCCCGTTGCGACGAAATTGGATTTATGGCTTTATTTTCCTCCTTTGCGGACGTCTATCAGCAGATTGCTCGTCGAAAGCCCTGCTCCGTATAACGGCGAAATAATGGAGTCCCGGAGTCTCTTTCGTGTCGTAAGTGCGATGTAATCTTAAAACACACACACACGTACGTGATACTTTATGCTTTGTTTTATTTTATTTATTGGAGAAAAAGATCATTTGACATTGATCGCAATGCTCAAATCATATGTTCTATACATTATCACAAAGCGCAAGAATCGTTCAATTTGAGCGTCTATATTAGTCATGAGTTACAATCAATTAGCAAAGAGAATCAATTAGCAAAGAGATGGTCTATGAATATGATTTTTGCTTGCGACAATCTTATGGCAATCCGGAAAAACCCGCTTATATCGAAAGTCAAACGCCATGGTTTTGTTCAGAAACATAATTTTAATACGTGTTATATTTCGGTAATTATTTTGTTTTCTTAGCAAGGAACCAACTTACCTACATCGATGTGATTGAAGTAATAGATTATTGAACGCATAAAACGCGGAAGAAAGCGTAAACAAAGGTAAAAAAACAAGTAAAACACTGTAACGTTTATCTAGCGTCGTTCTGCAAAACAGAATAGGCGCGAGACTCTGGTCGCGACCGAACTATGGCGAAAGGAACCGAACGTGGCCGAACGTCCGACCAATCACGATCGACGGTGGAACCGCCAAGCACGCGCCTTCTTCACCTGTTGCGCACATGACAGTGTGCACACGTACGAATGTTTTGTTTTGTTCGAACAGATGTAAACTTGTTTTTCTTATCTTGTAACGTAATTTGTTGCGTATTACTCGCGAAAATCAATCAGGTGAGAGTGTTTCTGTGTTAAAAGTGCAAAGTGATTTTTCTCGACGTTGTACTGTGCAACATAACCTCCAGCTGTGGAATCTCATACGGTAAGTTATAGAACAGAGATTTTTGAATTAATATTATAATGATAAGTGTAACATTGTTATAATCAAAGTAATTTCTTGGAAATATTTTAATTGTTGAAATTTTCCGAATAAACAAACAGGTAATCGTTTACTGTAGCTACTAAAGCATTCAAGGTTAGGCAAGTTTTATATGCAAGTTTTTCTATTAGATTTTTTCATTTTCATCAGCGCAAAACCGTGTCAACTAAATATAATTTTATCAAGACGGAGGCTCAGAAGATTAATATGAACAATTGCCAAAAAGGATCTCACAATATAAACATGTTTGTTATATGATTCTCTGTCAAATGTCAATATTTACTTAAAGTAGCTGTAGTTTTTGAAAATAATTCAATGAGATTGTATATATCTTTTTTTCACACTTCTATGAAGCATATGTATATGTAAAAAAATAAAGTACAAGCTTTATTGAAATAGTTGTTGTATTTTATGATTAATACAGCATATGTTTTATATGTTTAATACACAGTGTCAGTATTATTGCAATAATTGTCATATCAAAGCTGTAGAAGCTTCTTGAATATGACAGATTATCTTTCTGCTGAACTCACAGCCACTTGCGCTGTGCTTGGATATTATGATGGCTCTAAATATTATCTGGATAAAAACTGTTTAGGTAAAATTGCATATGATGTGTTTTACAATTTGGAGCAATTGAAAAATAAGTAATACTTGACAGTAATATCTTGTTAACAGAGGTTATAAAAGATCTTATCAGATATCTTAGAAGAGACGATGACACACACACTATAAGATGTTTTCTTGGTAAAACAAAATTACTTCAGACAGATCTTGTCAAAATTCTTACACATCATGTTGACAAAACAGAACTTTGGGATGTCTTAGTGCGGTATGTACAGCTGCAATATGCAGAAGAATGTGCGAGGTTTGATAGATATAACTAAAGTTTGCTTTTGTAACAGACTGGTTATTAACTTAACAAGTCCTGCACTTGTTCTTTTCAATGAACGTGTACCAACTGACAAAACAATGTACAGCTTGTATCAACAAATTATTACATATTTGCAAGAATATAAGACAGCATTAGCTGATGTCAATATATGGACAGCAGTGGTTAGTCGTTTGGGAAACCTACTCAGTGTTGTGAGTGACAGAATTATATTGTATTTCAATAAGCATAATATGTCAGCACTATTGACAGAAGGTTTTATTTTATAGGATAGTTCAGAAAGGGAGGAAGAAAATGAATTAACAATTGAAAGAATACTTATTTTCATTAGAAATGTATTGCAAATACCACCTAATGATAACGATATAAGAGTCGATAACGACGCTACTGTCCATGATCAAGTAATTTGCCTTACTAATATCACAAAAAATAAAAATTTTAATTAACGTTTATTAAAAAAAATACATAATATGTATTAAACAATTTCAAGCAACCAATTTTCTTTCTTGTAGATATTGTTTGCATTTCATGCATCAGGTATAGTCGATATATTGTTGTTCATTGTCAATAACAGTAAAGAGCAGCAATATCACATGCAGATCTTGGAGGTACATGTGTGACCTTTATTTTTCATCTCTGATATTTGTATACATACGTGAAGTATGAAAATCATACTGCTTGAAATAAAGGTTTATTTTGAAATAGTATTATTTTCACATTTGACTAGATTATATCTTTGATGCTACGTGAGCAAAATGCAAGCCAATTGGCTGCATCTGGGCTGCAGCGTAGCACAGCTGAAAAGGAAAACGACGAAGCTACACTTGTAGCTTTACGTCAGAAGGAACTGCGAGAGAAGATGGAAAAAATAAAAAAGTATGCCGGATCTAGGTAAGTCGAATTATTAATTTTTAATACATAAGAAAATGGAGTTAGTAAGAAGACTATATATATATATAAGTTATGCAACAACTACGTAAACTGTGTGTACGTGTGTGTGAAGAAAAGTCACTGCATAAATTATGTTGAAATTGAATTTTTAAGAAGCTTAAAACAATATTTATAAAGCGATGTTTGCAAAAATAATAGGATCATTAAAATAAATAATATCGTTTTACTTTATTCGCGAAAAGACTCGTTTGAACTCTTAGCTCTCTAATAAAATCATTTTGATATCTAATTGATAGACTTGTTTGACATTTAATACGCGAAACGCTTCATATAATTTTGTTTATACGTTTTAGTCGTATTTTCTAAACTAGTTTTTATAGAGAAACACACACAAAAAAATACATTCTCTTTGGCGAGTTGGTCACCGTGTAATTCCGACTTTAATGAACGGCTGCGCAGCTAAAAGCCCGTGATCGTTAAAGTAAAGGAATGCGCTAAAAGGCGCCGATTGCTACTTGACGGATATCTTTGGGGGTGGTTTTCACAGCGTGTTCCGCGCAATGCGTATAATGAATATGACCCAGTTTTTAAGGCAGTACCGCCCGGAGCATGAATGGAAGCTTTTATCCACTTGTTGGAGAGAAGCGAGCCGTACTCTTGTAACGAGCGCGCCCCAGAATATCGTGGAAACGCGTATTTCCGACGTCTTTTGCAAAAGGCTTTTTACCACTTGGAAGGGAACACTGGATGCGCGCCGAAAAGATATCTCTCTGTCGCGTGTTTCTCCTATCGATCGATGAAAAGATAATTCGATCGGAAAACGATAAAGCAACAGCAGCGCGCGCTTAGCTTGTGTCACAAACGCAGATCTCTTTTTGATAGCGACAGTAAACATAGTAACAAAATCGGATAGTCGCGCGATTCATTCCAAACGTGATGTAACATCATGATTTCACGTTCTCAAATCTTTTTTACATCTGTTTTAGTAGATTCTCTTCAATTTCATTATTACGTCGAATTCTTTTCGCGTTTCTATCGGAATTGTTAATAAAAAGTATTTTTTACTCGCGAGATATTATTACCTCGGCGGAAAAATGGCTTTTTTAATCTAACTTTTCTTCGCGGTGCCGATACGCGTTGATATATAGTTCGAAAAGAAAGTTAACCGTTCTGTTTAAAAATATTTGCAAGAAAATATAGAAAAAAAAATTTTGCGCGAAAAGTAAGAGAAAGTGAACCGAGATTCGCGTCTTCGTCATTTGGGGAAACTATCTGCCGGTGACAGCTGCGTACTATTCCATTGATTGCGTCGTCGCGAGTCATGGGTGAAATTGGATTTGAATGATCAGGTTTCTTTTTTTCAGTAGCGAGAGAGCGCGTTATTCTCGCTTCTCAATTTATATAAAAACGCGTATGTAAAAGCTGCGAGAGAGAAAGAGATGCAAAATCTCATAACAAGAAAGTCAATTTTTGTCAAAGCACCAAATATCGTTTGGCAGACTTAAAAAAAAAAAAAAAATCAACACTATTGGCTGCAGTTTTTTTCATCATCAAAAAAAAAAAAAAAAATTTGTCTTTTAATTGCTTAGACCTCGGGGATTCGACGGGGCTTACGTCGCGCGAATTATGATAGGCGGAAAAGAAAATCAAGTCATGTGTCACAAACCGTATCAAAAATTCGAAGATCTGGCATTTGGTGAAGAAAAGGTAAGGTATGCTCTAATTAATCGATCATTAACTACAAGATGCACATTCATAACATTTTTCGCATCTTCTTTGTTTCTAAAAACATTCAAGTCGACATACAGTTATAGATCTCTCTAGTTAAGAGAATATAAATCATTAGAAAATCCGTCTTTTTCAACAGCAAAGAGTAAAGCGACGTAAGGATAAAGTAAGCCCACAAGATGCGAAGGAGGAGCGCATGTCTCCTCTTAGCGTGCGACTATTTCTGAAGGAATTCTGTGTCGAATTTCTGAGCGGAGCTTACAACCCCGTGATGAAATTCGCCAGATCCTGCATTATGAATGCTGTGTACGGCGAGACGTCCGAAACGGTTTCCTATCTATGGGCCTTGCGCTTCTTCATGGAGTTCAATCGCCATTACAAGTCTGAAGTGAAATATGTGAGGTAAATCTCAGGCACTTCAAGTTTCTCATAGCGAGATCCACATTGGCGCATAGCCCGGTTAAAGAGGCAGAAAGCGAGACAGTTTCCGAACTCGTTTTACGCATCGTCGCTTTCTTTTAGATCTTATCTCGAGAGAAAATTCTTCAGCTCGCGAATTCGCACGGGGGTGAACTGCCATCTAACTTTGCGACGCGAACAAATTTTTTTTTTTTGCAATTCTCTTAAAACCAAAAATTAGACGATGTCGTGTTATTATTATTATTATTATTATTTATTTGCAGCGTTATATTTGACGACGATAAATATTAAACTATTTTCGTGTGTACTAAAATCTGGAAGCGTGTTTTCCCAGATCATAAAATTCGATGATTTATCCTGTCCTTGTATGTTTTTTTTTCATTTAAACAAATATACCACATGGTTCAAATTTTATTTACTACTCGTTATCTATAGAGTATCACGCACCGATGCGTACGATGTACCGCTTTTATCAGATCAAATTTTAGTGACAGTTTGTTTGACTGATTTCGTTTCGTTTTTTTATTTTTTTATTTTTTTTTTTATTTTCTTTTTATCATATTCTGTTGCACAAAAAAATTTTGTTTTAGTTTTTCGTACACATTCTTTTGCATAAATGTGAATTTTAATTGTTTGCGTTATTTAATAACAATGTCACGTCAATGTCGCGTATTTTATTTCGTTATTCATATTGCGTTTCCGTAGCGAGACCATATCCACGGAAGTGTTTCATTTGGTCCAAAGACAAATGGAACAATACTACGAGATGATGATAACCGATAAGAAAAAGATACCTCTTTGGTCTCGTAAATTGCATTTGGCATTAAAAGCGTATCAGGTGGGAAATTTATGTGATAATTAACGTTGCTCGCGCGCGAAGAGAGAAAATATTTTTCGGGATATATTTTATAGGAGCTTCTTAAGACTCTAATGGCGATGGACAAAAGTACGGATCAGGGTGTTAGAGAGTCCAGCAAAATAATCAAAAGCAATATATTTTACGTACCGGAATATCGGGAGACGATACTCTCGCAATTTATATGTTTCGACGAGACTAAAATGTCACGGTAAGTCAATAGAATTTCGTCACGAATCAAATGTACATCGAATTATAAAAATCATCAGAGAAAGGGAGAATTTGAACAATTGTGCCAGTCCAATTTTCAGTTTTTCGATATACGACCAATCGTTTTTCTTTTTAATACCACGGAATAAAAACTGTGAATATCCCGTGAATAAACATGAATCGAATAATCGTGAATTTTCAGCAGGTTGTAGTGACGTGATGTAGATATCGCGAAAAGTTGCGCGACGAGTCATACCAAACAATCGCGCGTCTATGCGAATCCGCGCGGCTCGCGAGAAGAGAGAGAGAGAGAGAGAGAGAGAGAGAGAGAGAGGAAGAAGAACTCTTTACCGAAAAGTTTTATCTACCGCAGACAGATTGATTCACTTTCGGATCAATCGGTTCGACCAGCCAGGAAGCCACTCCTGGCTCCCTTCCGACGCCCGTTCCTTTTCGACTATTTCTCTTCCTTCGGCGGCTGGTCTCGCCGGCTCGCACACCACCCGCCCGGGGTTTTCTTCTTCTTCCTCCCTTCTACAGCTCCTCGGCGGAATAAACAACTTTTATCGACCTTCCGGCCGGCGAAATGGGAAAAGGCGGTGGGCGTTCAACTTGCTACGAGTTTGACGGGTTTTGCGCGGATTTCCACGACGGAAATGTAAGGGCGGGCACGACGTACCGCAATGCCGCCGTTGCTACTATGACGTTACGACGACGCTGACGAAAACAGGACGGCGCGACTCTGTCAAACTTTGGCTTTCGCGCTGGCAGCGTTACTGGAAACTAAATTGACAAATTAATGCGCGAGTAACGGGATTGAATTAATTTCTTGTTGCACGGAGAAGTAAGGCGAGTTCAAGTTTACCCTTCTCTCTGATCATCATACAGCAACAAAACAACGTTAGCTGTACATATTTGCTTTGCAGGCTGTACTTGGCCGATCTTGTAACTACCGTTCATATATTTCTCAAAATGCTCGAGCACTTTTGCAAGAAAGGTCAACGTCATCTTGTGGTTCAGAAAGTCAAACGCAAAAGGCAAAAGACTAAGAAGCAAAAAAGTAAGATTTGTTTACTCAGAAAGTTGAAAAAGTATTAAATTTGCAAATTACATTTAAAATTAAATTTCTTCGACGCATCAAATTGTTTTTTTTTCTTTTTTTTTTCTTTTTTTTTTCTTTTTTTTTTTATTTTTTAAACAGAATCTGCTCAAACCAACGTAACTTCCGCTCCTACATTGGAAGAACGTTGGGATATTGTCGGTCCCGAATTGTCTGCTGTGATGCGAGAAGCTGTCATACCGGAAGTGACACCGTTCGATGCGACCTTGGAAACGCCTATTGACGATCAGAAGTACGTATTGTTGCTAACGCGGCACAGATCAACTGAAATAATATTTGTTGTTTCCGTTGATGCTTTATAAAACAGCTGTAAAACACGTCGTCTATAAATTTTGTACTTTTGTTTTGATTCTCGCAGAACAGACGCCATGAAGAGAATCCAGAAATTAATGCGACAGAGGAACTTGGAGCAGGCGGTTGGTCTTCTGCGTTCAGCAAGGTAAGAAAACTTGTTTATTTTGAGAAGCGATTCCTGGAAAAGCATTGTAATTTGTTGTCATGAAACTCCTCGCCTCAAAGCGAGCGTCGTCCATTGTTGTTTATTTTGAGAATCAGTCTTGCACTTAAACCGTCGTTACGCACAACAAGCAAGGGATTCTAAGCCCTGTGCTACTTTGTTTAAATAAAAGAAAACGCGAGAAAACTCCAGACGCTTAAGAGTGTGATACGTAAAAAGTTACGTATAAATTTCTTGTTTCTAATTTACATTGTGCGCGGAATCGGCATGTTTACTTTTTCACGAGAGAAGATCCGGAATGTCGCCGGATGTCTTGCGGATGTTTCTTTTAAAAAAAAAAACCATCATTGCAACAATGCGTGCGAAGAACCATTGCGGTTTCCTCTTGTTTCAAAATTAACTGTCTTATTACGTGTCAATGAATATACGCATTTTTTTTTTTTTATAAAAATCGGTTTTTGTATTGCGAAGCAAGTCAATTATTCCGTATTTATCTTTCATATTTTTTCAACACTTCGCGAAAGTGTTTAATTTTTAACTTTACGCTGTTGTTTTTAATAAAACAATATACTCCTTCGTTTATATCTTTTTATAGAGTTTACTATAATTTATTCTTATACACAATGCTTTTCGATGACAAGACATAATCTCCGAAGAAGTAAGTCGGACGTTAATTACGAGGGTTATACGGTCTTTGTTTGAGCGAACAAAGGCGTTCACATTATATTAGGGTTAGAAGTCGGGTAAGAAGAGACAGTAATTATTCTCGTGAAGTCGATGAATTTTTTATCTTTTAGACTCATTGTCAGACACACATATCCGCACGAAGTATATAAGACACATAAATTTACGAGCTATTAGCCAAGTTTCTCTCGAAACATAAAACGAAATTGCAGCTCGACAATAGGTTTTTTTTTTTTTTTATACGCACATTATCACAAAGTATAAATTTTATTACTCGCAACTTCTAGTTTACTAATAAAATTCACATCACATCAGTTTTATTAGAGATGATTTATTACAGAGACGTTATTCGATTAAATGCCAAAATATAAAAGCGCGCTAATTATATTAGCGCGCTAATTATATATTTATCGAATTGTTTAAGTTTTTTTTTTTTTTTTTAATTTTGCGCAACGGCCAAGTTATATGACCAATTAGCTGGTGAGAAGCCAGGCGTTTGCACTGCCGCAGATATTTACATTACATTAAATCTGAAAGGGATCTGCCGCGCTCTCTTGTAACGCGTCGGTATACACCAGTTCACCGAGGTGAACGGCTACCCCGACCAACTCTTTGAAGTGTTCTACCTCTAAATGTGCCTATGAGTCATGTCCCTCCGTCAACTTGTTTCTGCGTTCCACCTCGCCAACTCTTCTCGCTCTAAGGTTTAATCGCCGCCTCGATGCTTTCGCGAGATTCGATATACCCTCGACTGATAAACTCGTCGACGTGTAAATAGATTCCTCTTTATATACACTCGTCTCAAAGCTTTTTCGCGTTTAAAGGTAGGACGCGCGCTGATAGATCGCGATCTTGTGAACGAACTTTTTAAGTTCGTCTTTCTATCTCGGCGCGGAATTAATTCATATACATTTGTAGAGGAGGATACGTTTGTAATCTGCTTGTAATTGGAAATGATCTTGCGAGATCATCTCACGCTGACATTCGAGAAGTATATATATATATATCGGGTTGTAACGTAATTTCAACTGGAAACACACGCGCGTAACGTTGCGCCGTTAATCTTTAACTTTATTAGTTCTGTCAGATTGGAGTGCCGTAAGAGATATAACCGTGAGGGATAAAAGTCCGTTTTATCGCCGCTGTCTCTCCTTCTATGATAAAGCCATGAAATTATAGTCCCTGACGTGATTTTTCTTTACGCAGTCCGGGTATCATCGCCGCGAACTACTTTGGGAGATTGTACGTAATATTCCCACCGTCCATTTTATAGAGTGGGAGGAGGAAAGGAGGAGGTAATGTTTACTATAGCCGGGGGTACACACAATGGAAGTCTTGCGGGTCTATGCCGACCTTGTGCACACAACGGGGGAATAAAAGTAGCAGACTGTTGACTATGCCCCCGTACGTAGAGCTAAGCTCGGGCGCAGACAATATTATTAATAAGACATTTACGGTAATACGCAGGTACGTAAGATAAACAATGTAATACCGCCATTCTCTTCGGGTGCACGTCTTCGTTTCCCGGTTACTCTTAGTGCGCTTCAGATAACCGTGTTTCGTTTGCCTAGCAAATACTCGGTTTAGTGTCTGGCTACCGATTTTAACTCCCTCGCATTCTGTCGTCTCTCTTCTCCATCCGCGCGCGCAGTGATTTTAACCTCACGGATTACGCGTTATCAGGGGAGTAGAATAATTATCAGGAAAAAAAAAAAAAATGCGTCGGTTTGTCATAAATTTTCTTTTGTCTTATTGTCATACATATACGAATAATACATATATGTATATATAAACACACGCACGCGTAAGCACGCGGTGTAACGATTTTATTCTTTGCAAAGAGAAAACCACGAAAATCTGCTCTTACTTTTCTGTTTATTTTGAAATATTGGTTTGCGATGTACGTATATATATAATGTGTAGAAGCGAAATTCAATTTTATTCGCGAGCAGTTGGAAGTATACGGATTATTTGTGAAATGACTTGTGTTTTTTCTTTTGTGTGTGTAAAGAAAAAAATCGTAGGAGAAAAATAGACATGTTTACAAAATTCCAAAATGTAGCAAAACTCACTACAACGTATATATATGTATCAGAAATTTTTTCTCGTGACGGTTTAATATCCAGATTCGAAGGTCGACTCATTACTTTGAGTCTCCTTTGCCGGGCACGAAAATGGACGAAATTATCCATTTCATATCTGGCAAAGCGGTATCGGCTTGTATGTCGGAACGTCGAGTCGGGGACGCCGCGCCGACGGAGGCGGCGGCGGCGGCGACGGCGGGCACGGCGCGTCTGAGAGATTCCATTGTCGCGGAACTTCAAATCGAGGGATAATGGGGATTGTATGCTGCTGAATTTCTATTCAGCCAACCAGCAGCAGTGGCAGCAGCGCCGTACGAGCCACTTCTTCCGCTCCGGGGACAGCACCCTTTTCCTCTACTTTCGCGTTCTCTCCCTCGCACCGTCTGCTTATTGGATTCATCTCCGGCAGAGTGAATTTCGGAAAGTCTTCGAAAGTGGACCGGACTCTTTTAACTCACAATTCTTCGAAATTCGCGCTATTTAGCGAGAGTTGTTCCTTGTACAACTAGCGCGCAAAACTTCGAATTTTTCACTTACACAAAGTCGGAAACGATTATATGTAAGAGAATAGAAAGTTTTCGTACAGTAAGTTTTGTGACGTACAAATCTCGATAAAAAGAGAAAATGTTATCTGAGAGAATTGTGATAAAGTTTCTATGAGTTTGTTCCTCAAATTTTTTTCTCTCGATAACGATTGTCATTCTAGATTTGAGTCGGAGAGAGAGAGAGAATTTTCCTCGATGTTTTGCGCGCTAGTTGCGATTCATTGTATGTATACTATATGGATTACGTCTCTGTTCACGTGTAAACGAGGACGGATCATGTTCGAACTCGATTCCGAGCGGCGAGTCGTATATTGTAAAACGCACGGGATATACATATGTGTCACGTGTGTACGCATAAAACGAAACACATTGGATAGTGCATACGTGTCCGCGCTGGGAGAACGCCGTCTATACGTCTCGCTTTTATATGGGAGAATTGCAACTAAGTGCGATTTCGTGTCAAGTGACCAAATCCAATTCTCGGATTTTAATGCGATTCGGTCGCTATTAGGATCAAGTAAAGTAGGAGCGCGATTTTCATTATCAATCGTGCGGTGCCGCGACAATAGAGCGAAGAGAAAACGATTTTTTTTTCATCGTCATAGTTGTTTTTTATGACTGAAAACCTGTGTGATGATATCGTAAAAGTATCAATGGAAAGGAGTCTGTGAAATAATTTTAAAATTTTTATTATGTCTTTTATGCTTTTCGCGATATTCATTCTTCCTTTTCTGTTTTCTTTTCTGTTACGAATACTGTAATCGATCGTTCGTAAAATCATAGAGTTACAAATTGTAAGATTTTGTAGCTTCAAAAGAAAAGAGATTTTGTCGTGTGAAAAAACTCTGAAATATTTAATTTTAGTATTTCTTTGAAAAGATATGTTGCATTTTGTTTTGTGTACATATCACATTATTATCTTTATTTTGCAATTATGTTTGTCCGACTTTGTTTGATATGTTGTGTAAGCTTTGTTCGTCCCGTAAGAATTTTTTCTTTGAAGCGCGCTGCTTTGGTCTGTGAGAAAATATAATTAAGAAAACTGTAACGGATTTTTAGTGAAAATTCAAGGAGAAAAGGATGTTTGGAAGCTATTTCCCTTATGTAATATAAGGTTAAAAGTGTTCTGCCATTAGCTCCACACCCTTTTTCGGGAGCGTTTCTGAAGACGTGACTTTACCTTTGTCCTCTAGTCACGTTCGCACACGACCGTCTGTTTTCTTTTTTCGGAAAATTCTTATAAAGTACATAAGGTATCTCAGATTTACCTACTAAGCCGACTTTTATGTGTCGCAGAAAATGCGATTTTCCTCAAAAAGAATGGTTAAACCCCAGCTAATTTAGACTACACGCACATTGAGTAAATCAATGATAATTTATAAGAAAGCTAAAATTTGTCAAAAATTTCGATTCTAGCGAATTAATAAAATTACGCTCGATTTGTCTCTTGTATTAAATTCAAAACTTGATTTTGCAAACAATTGTTAGTATCGAGATAAGTGAGCATAATTTTTAGTAGTAAATTTGACATGATTCAAGCAGATCGGAGAGACGGTAAACTCTGGTACAGTAACAGAGTAACTCTGTACAGTGGATGTTTTATGTCTGAGAATCTTCTTTACATTGTCTCTCTTCTATTTCTTTGTACAGCGATGACACTAGACACCTCCTCTTCCGTATCTCCGTAAGATACATGGATGCTTTAAGGAAATGCATGTGTGTCAGTTCATACTCGCGCGGCGTAGGGTAGACGAAGAATGAGGGTCGGGTGTGAGTACTTGACGCAAGAAGTTCAATGTTAGTGTAGATCGTGGTGAGGCTCCCGTGCTCAAAGGGAAGACCTTCTATGAGACCTATTGAGTTTGCCACTTCGGACTTCTCATCGTGCTTCTCCACTACACTCAACTTGATCGAATGTTTCCCGGTCGTGTGACTCGAGATAATGATTCGCTCTATTTAATTATCTCGATCTTATTATCGCCTAATTGCATGATGAACAGAAACTTGTTAATGTCTTTTCGGGATAAGTATTTTTACAACTCGTGTAGGACTTTGCCGAGAGATACGGAACGTGATTTTTTGCGCTTCCGATTGTCATAAATCAATTTTTTTTTTTTTTTAATTAAATAAGATAACCAAAATAAATAAATAATAGAACATGTGTTGAATTCGATAACTTGATAAAATACAAAGCTTTTTTTATTATATACGAGTTATTATATAACGAAAACGTTATAATGCTGCGCATTAAAACGAGAGCACAATCTGCTTGCTTAACATCTTGTTATCATCTTTATTACGTTGTTGTCAGGCTTTCTACTTTAGTATTAATGTTATTATACTTGAGAAGTTTAAAACGTTCGCATAAAATTATGTTACAGAGAAATCTGGCCTGAGAATGACTGCTTCGGTAGAGCGGACATGCCTCTTGACGAAGAATTTCAGGCTCTTCACGAAATCTTCTTCGCAGACCTGGGCGGTAAGTCATTTTCCAAATGTTGCGGTTTAATTCCGCACAAATATTAATAATTCTTGCGATCGTTTGTGCTTTTAAACAACATTCAGCGGGCGAATGAACTAAATAGATGAGAAACTAAATTATCGGCAACTTCCTGTAGCGTCTCCGAAACGGAATTAAAACTTGGTATTTTTTTACAGTTTAGATAGTACTTTTGCTCTCTCGAGAATTGCCGGTATATAACATACATAGAGTTCTGCGAGTCTAACGGGGGAAACTTATATTCTCGCTTGCATATATAACTCCGCGAGAAAAGAGTAGCTTTGCGTCCGCCTAATTATAAAGAGCAAAGTCCGGTTATTAGGTTAAAGCATGAAAGTAATGAGCTGTTTTCCTTCATTCCACGGACAGGAGTTCGTTACGACTGCTGATTTATTAAATTACAAAGTTTACTCGGATGTTTCGGAAAGAAAAACGCGGACTTATACGAGATATAATAACGTGTACCCCGTAAGGGAAGTTATCGTCCAAAGGGGGAGAAAACGATATATATATATGTATATGTATATGTATGTATATATGATTTCATTTGAGATGCGTTTCTCTCGCGGAGACGATTTGTAATAACTGGCGCATATATCACGACACAAATTTAATTAAACGCGCCGTTGGTATTCATTTCACGCGCCTAATTTATGTGTGAATAACTATGCTATTCAGTGCCGAGATTTCGCGACGATCCATGCCCGCCACGTATTTATCTCTGTTCATTACCAGCACAATAATAGCTACCTGTCGACGTTTTAAATCTTTCGCTTTTGATGTTGTACGATTGTGTACAAACATCCAGCAATTTATTTTAAAAATAAAAGAATCCTGTTGTTGCATTTTTGTTTTTTGCGATAAAATTTCTCTTTTGTCTGCGTTCTAGAATACAGATTATTTCATTTTGCAAAAGCAACCAGTGTAACGTTTATTACACAGGTTGAGCTACACAGATTGATCTGTTAAACACATTAGAGAAAAATAAATCAAGAAAGAGAGAGAGAGAGAGAGAGAGAGAGAGAGAGAGAGTGTGTGTGTGTGTGTGTGTGTAAAATTAAATTGTGCTTGAAAGTGTTTAAAAGTGAATTTAACTCCGCGATTGTTTTTTTTTTTTTTTTTTACTTTGAACACATTTTGACACTTTACAACGCACCGTCGTATGTTTGTTGTTGACCACGGACGTCAATTCTATAAAGAACCTTTACAGATATATACGCGAATTACAAACCGTAAAAATGTAGTTTACAAATATACACGAATATAACCGTGAAATTTTATTTTTCACGTCAATGCGCAAAATACAAAATGTATACACGATATTAAAATTCTACAAATAATAAAAGACACTTTTTTTAAGCCTGAATTATTAATAACTGCATTAAATGTCAAGTAATATTTTAGCAACGTCTTTACACACATTAGTTATTTTACACATTAATGAAAAAACTAAAACCGTGCTCGCTAATAAAATAACTGTTGCAAAATTCAATTATTTTTTCTTAGTTTGGTCTTCTCACGCATTGTGTGTGTGTGTGTGTGTGTGTACGCATGTTACAATGAATTACCGCACAACTTAAGACGTGACAACGCTATCATGTGTTCGTCCCGGCATATTGTGCAGATAACAGTAGACTGACAAAGTCGTTAAATGTTAATCTCTCTTTTATATCTTGCAAATGTGCCGTAGTCGCACAGTATTCAGCCCCGGAGGGGCTGTTTTATATAAAACATCAGCGCGCCGACATCCAGACTGGTTTTATTTTACGACGTGAGCAGTCTGAAACACTCCTCCATTATCTTTACCACGCGCGTCAGAATCTCGCGCACAATCTTCGCGCGTTAAATGATTATTTTTTTTTTGTTTTTGTTTTTGTTTGCGTTGAAGTGAGGGTTTTAAGAAGAGTGGGATCGCGGGTTGCGTTTTATTCGTTGTTTTAACTACACTTCCAACGGATTTGTCATTTGGGAATTATTTAACGCGAGCATTTAATGTCGCAAAGGTTGCAAAACATCTCTCGGAACTCGTCGCGGTACGAAGAGAGTGTTACAAAAAAAAAAAACAAAAAAACTAAAACAAAAGACAATTTGATAACATGATATGGCGTCAAAAAGTTATCTATAAAAACAGAAGCAAACATGTGCGGATTTGTGATAGGGAAAAGCGAAATCAGTAGTAGATTTCGCGCATTGGCTTCGCCGATTGACGTTGTTTTTCCGCTTCAACTGCTTTCGCATACACTTTATGCGTCCGAATGACTACACATACTTTGCAACTCCCGGCCGCATCCCGATGGTACTGCACACGCGGTACATAATGGAGTATCTGTTTCGCGTTGATAAACCACACCACGGAAATTGGCGGTCGCTTCGTGTGACAAGTTTATTTTGCCTTATTTTATCGTGCGCGTTCTACATACGTCGAAAAATACGAAACGTGTTTAATACGTGCATTATCCGTACGCTCCTATCATTATTGTATTGTGCAGTTTTGCGTGATTTCCCAATCAAGTTGACGAGATATACGAGCCATCTGATTTCTCTTCGCAAACGAGATACAATTACTTTTTTCTCCGCGCGATACTATTTGTTTAGACATCCACGATCGGTGTCGGATTCAGACACTCGGACAAACGGAACTCATTAATGATTTCGAAAGATGGAGTTTTCGTGGAAAAGAGATCGAGTCGAGAGAGGAGCAAACGAGTATTTGTCATTCGTGACGGGGATACTTCATCAACAGCGTTTATAAATAATCGGGTTTGATATCGAGGAGGTTTCGCAGCATATACCGGAAGTCCTTTACTTATTCACGTCTGTCTGCGAGTAGAACGGGTACTAGGTTGCTATGTGTAAAGTTCATGTTTCATCGACTCTCGTCCTCCCGGTCCGAAATATGAGAGAGAGAGACGCGCACCAGTCGACAAGGAAGATGCGCTGTAGTTTTCGACGCGATTTTTCTCTTCCTCTTTCTCGATTCCAACTTGTTAGACCGAATGGGTGATGGATGCTTGCGAGAAGTCAGCCCATGTGTTCTTCCTCAAGTCGAACGTGTGATGAATGAAGGTCGAATTGAAAAGTCTCGAGGCGCGGAGTGACGAAATTTGCATGCCTCGCTCGTACGAGCGATCTTTTTTCTTTCGCGTCTGCTCAATTTGTACGCGTTCGTTGTTAACTAACGCGCGCGTTTCTTCACGCGATCTTCCTCGGATCTTTCTCAACCCTTCAGTGCCAGACATAAAAAATGACCTACGAGTTGTTTAGACTGGGTCTGTGAGATCCACGCGACTTTAAGTTTGAATATCTTCGCAAAAAGCAATATTTTTTCAATTTCTTTTTTTTTAATTGAACGTTTTTTTTCAGATGTCACGCTAAATTAATACCTAGTAGAGACACTGGTTTAAAACTTTTGAGTCTCGAAGACCCATATCTGGCACTGACGTTGTGCTTGTGTTTTTTTTTTTTTTTTTTTTTACGCGATTCTTGCGATGGTGACGACGCGATGATTAAAGAGTTACAATTTGACTATAAATTTTGACAAAAACAATATAGTCTTGCGAAATCTTTCTGAAAATGCGCGCGTGGCTCACGTTCCTCAAGTTTCCGCGGAAGATCCCGCACAAATTTTCTCGTCTTCTCTCATCATACGGTGTGTACCGCCATAATAACTTTCCTTATTTACCGTAATGCGCGGGGAAGTCATCTCTGACGTTTTCTGGAAGAGTGCCGCGTACCTAAAATACGTAGATTGGACGCCGCACCCCGGATCCCCGCCTTGTATGTCGGGAGGAAGTGGAGAAGTGGCTTCGAGAGGTATGAAAGAACTTTTATCGGGGCGGAAACTTCGTCTTTCCTTCCCAAGCGGCATGAAGTCGTACGAACGAACGGGAATTATTTAGTGCAAGACGCAGAGTAAACAACAGATGTACTACCGAACATTTGTGAGTTTTGTTCTCTCTCTCTCTGGTTTTTTCGCGTAACTTTTGAAACGATTCTTCGCGAGTCGAGTGACTCTTCTCATTCTCCGAGAACGAAAATGTTGTCGGTAAATATGCATCACTCGCAAAATCAGCCTGTGCACTTTCGCGTGGCCTGTATCGATTGTCAGAATTGATGTTAACGTACAATAGCGGGATTATAGGCGTTCGATGATGCAAATCCTTGCAGCTCTGAAATTTTCATAGGGCGCTAAGCTTGATTGAGTGTTACATTTTTTTTTGGAAGGGGGGACCGGGGCTTTCGAATTGCGCTGTGTCATTCTTTTTTTTTTTTTTTTTTTTTTTTTAACTTTACTATGAGCAACGCGGATGAACAATAATCAGATCGAGTCGACGTTCCGTGGAATTCAAAGCGAAGCCGAGGATTTGAAATTTACATCCTCTGCTCGCTCGAGCGATCGCTACCATATGTTTGCATTCTCGCAACGTCCTTTCTCCGCTCCCGGACATCGGTTCTTGAGGTAATTCGGCTAGAATCTGCACGCCACGTCCGTTTTCCTCCCATTAAATTGCTATGCGCCGTGTTACCTCTCGCGATTCCAAACAAGCCAATCTAGCATCTGTCGCTCACTTTGTTGTGTCTTTCGCGTGAGATTTTATTTTTTTCTAGTATTTTGTATAATATCGATATAATTTATGTTTATTTTAGAAAATGAAATTTAAATATAGAAGAGAGAAAATCTCGTGTTTGCAAAGAAAAATATTTGATATGAAATTTACATTTTCTCGAGATAAGTTTAACTTAAACTAAAAAACTTGTATTGTTTTATATATTCGCTTTTTTGTTACTTAATCATATTTACACTGCGATTAATTATCGCTTGTTACATCGAATTATTTACAACTATATTTGTTTATTTACTTTTTCTCTCGAGCATGAATGCTAAAACACACTTCGCACGAATGTAAGAATTTCTCCAACGATTTTCTATCCGGGGAGACGCAGCTTTCTACTGTTTCTGCTCGAACAGCATCCAAGTA